TGCGCCAGTTATGTGATGAATGTTTAGCTTTGAATTCCGAGTAAACCCTCAGAAGCTTTCTGGGGCTTTTGCTAGCGCTAGTTTCCGGCAAATCGAGCCCGTCTGCGCACGGACCAGTTCGATGAGGTGGGAGGCGATGTGATCAATGGGACGTTCTTTTGCCATAATCGTCCCAGTTTCTGTTGAACATCATCAATAAGCCATCGGAAAAACGGTTCTAAAATCATCCCATCGAATGGACGACGCGTCTCAAAAGAACTATACGATATGAAGAACATCCTATAAATACGATAGTATTTAACGTATCGGCAACGATGTCCTTCAATTTGACCGGAAAAGTCGAAATCAGACGAAGACGTCAAGGCCATGAGAAATGGAGCCGTTAAACAGCTCTGATGATGGGTCTCAAGGACGAATCTCTGTGACTCAATTGCGTAATTTCAGGTGTACGAACGTTTCTGAAAGCGGGTTCAACGGTCGATTTGAAATGGGCCACTGCTATTCCTCATATGGTAAGTATCATTTGAGTGTGTGTGGCGGAGATTGGTGGAGGTTTTGGTGTAACGATTGATGAGTCGCTTGTCGCACCTCAATCACCCAGCGAATATGGTCCGTTATCTGTCCGTAATCCCTCCAATTACGTCTAGCCGCATATCTCTATCGCGCAACACATCTAAGGGCCAAGGTTATCCTGGCTCACCTAGCCGTTCACAACTAGTTCCAATATTGGACAATAGCCAACTTGCAAGAGTGGTTATAAAAAGAAAGAACCCTGGGCCTTCTTCTATCAAAATTCGGGATGCGCCTTGCATTCCACTTCCACTCAGAATGATGGTTTCATCTAAATACTACTTGCCTTTTTGGGTGAATCTCGCTGAGGTGACTTATTAGAGAAATCTTGTTGAGGATTCCATTCCTTAAGCCGGTATTTTCACCCTCCCAGAAGCCCGGTACAAATCAAGCGACCCCGAGGCATGGGACCCTAGTGATTTTCGATTTGCTTTTCCTGTTTGGTTGGCTTAGACGGGAGCCGATACTGGACAGGGTACGTCCCGCTGTCTGGAATTTTTGCGAAATGTGACACCCCCATCTTTACAATCTCCTCCTTTGATACGATCTCCTTGTCGAGCAAGGCACGTCCTACCGATGCGAGAAATTTTGCGAATCACGACCCCCCCCTCCTCAAAATCTTCTTGTGGTGAGATCCCCTTCCTACATTCCATCCTCCCTCCCATCTTCCTATGTTTTCCCCTTCTTCCCAGCAGGTTTTGGGGTTTTTCCCAAAAATTCCTCTTCCCTTCCCCA